ACTGCAAGCTCCGCCTCCCGGGTTCACGCCATTCTCCTGCCTCAGCCTCCCGAGTAGCTGGGACTACAGGCGCCCGCCATCTCGCCCGGCTAATTTTTTTGTATTTTTTTAGTAGAGACGGGGTTTCACCGTGTCAGTCAGGATGGTCTCGATCTCCTGACCTCGTGATCCACCCGTCTCGGCCTCCCAAAGTGCTGGGATTACAGGCTTGAGCCACCGCGCCCGGCCGAGCCCATCATTTCTTGATGATTTGTTGAAACACAGTATGCTGGGGCAGTCAGAGAGGAGAGGGAGGGGCATATGGCAAAAAGAGTTAGAGGGAAAGAGCTTTCCCTCAGTATATTTAATATGTGCAGTTCTCAAATCCTCACCCATCCCTTACAGATGGAGTCTTCTGGCACAGGTATGTGGGCAGAGAAGACTTCTGAGGCTACAGTAGGGGCGTCCATAGGGACTGACAGGTGCCAGTCTTGCTCAATCACAGGAGAGAATACTGTGCCCTTCCTCTCTGACAGGGCAGCGAATACTTACTGTGCCAAGGGTGAATGATGAAAGCTCCTTCACCACAGAAGCACCACACAGCTGTACCATCCACTCCAGTTGATCTAAAAAGGACATTTAGATGTAAAATCACCGCAGTAATCTGTGTACTTAACTCAGGTCCTCTACCCTACACTCTCCGGATGAAGGCTTATAGCAAGACCTCTCAGTGGGAGAGTCTCTCTCTCTGCTCCAAAGGACAATGGTCTTAAAATACCAGGGGTATGGATTTTAAGTCAATTTGCCACTGATATGCTATGTACTCTGGTTATCAGTCTCCATAAGGCCACTTGGTATAAGGTTTGACAGTCTCTCAAATAAAATGCTTGAAAGAAAAAAAAAAATCGAAGATCTAATTTCCATTAATTTGCTAAATTGCTGGCTAAGACACTGTGTGAAAAAACACCCACGTTCCTTCCCTCCCTTTCTCCCTTCATCCTAATTCTGTGTTGGTAATTGATAATCATGGCCACTGAAAATACCATACTTGGTGGTAATTACTGTAACTGTCAAGAGATGGGAAGATAATTCATCCAGTCAAAAAAATACACGTCATCCGGGTTAGAGACTCAGCAGGGAAAGGCTACATGCTGAGCTGGAATCCATATACTCAGGGAGAAAGAAATCAGAAGAGACTGTGGAGATGTTCTCCGTGTACCTGGAAAATCAGAACTGCCCAATGGGCCCTGTTGGATGTGTTCTTCAAGACATTCATGTATGTTGCTCTTTCCCATCAGCCTGTTTCTGGGAATTGCTGAGGTGCCCCTGTCTGACTGAACGAAGGCTGACTAACTCACCCCCAAAATAATACTTGCTGGCAACCCTGGTTTGCACTATACCAAAGTAAAAAAACACAGAAATCCTTGAGTGGAACTTGGAAATTTCATAAAAATCCAATTGATAACTAATAAAGAGGATGGAAACAAAATTACATTGCTGCCAGGTTTTCTTGCTGTCACTCATCTGCCTGTGACCAGATGCTAAGGCCTTCCTCTAAGATGTAAGAGGACCTAAGTCCATGGGCAGAAGCAGGCATAGGAGGCAAAGGTGGGTAGCTTTTGCTGTGAAAAGAACCAACCAAATTTATACACACACCAGGGCCTTTGTACTGCGCAACTCCAGGTGAGCTTTATTGCAGTCCTAAGTATAACATTGTATTCAGTGTCAAGTTTAATTAGAAAATGTTCACCGAGAGGGCTGGGTGCGGTGGCTCAGGCCTGTAATCCCAGCACTTCAGGAGGCTGAGGTGGGTGGATCATGAGGTCAGGAGATCGAGACCATCCTGGCTAACACGGTGAAACCCCGTCTCCACTAAAAAAAAAAAATTCAAAAAATTAGCTGGGCGTGGTGGCACACGCCTGTAGTCCCAGCTACGTGGGAGGCTGAGGCAGGAGAATCGTTTGAACCCGGGAGGTGGAGGTTGCAGTGAGCCAAGATCGCGCCACTGCACTCCAGCCTGGGCAACAGAGACTCCATCTCAAAAAAAAAAAAAAAATGTTCACCAAGATTCTTCCCCTGCTCTGGGTCTGTCCATGGTGGGCCAGCTGCTGTGCTTTCTTCTATGTAAGTAAATTAAGATGGTTTAGGAAGAGCAGAACTTCTTGAGTTTTACCTATCCAAAGGTATTTTCTCACCAACATGTTGGCACTAACAGCAGCTCGATGCCATCTGAACACATAACATACTAAATCCTAACTATTCACCACCTTCATGCTCTTGAGAAGGGGGAAAAGGTATAGCTTTTTTTTTTTTTTTGCCATAGGATAACATTTAGGTGCTGTTTTGTTTGGAGGGTGGTAGAGAAATAGAATAGCCTTTACAACATCTCAGCAATCTGAGGAACCCCCATTGGGGGATCTTGCTTATAATACTCCACTATGTAAGACAAAGGCTGGTGCTGGAACTCTGCAGTTCTCCCAGGCTCTTACCTGTGGGCATGTTGGTGAAGGGCCCATAACAACAGATTTCTAGCCCCCTGAAGATCTGGAAGAGAGGAAGAGAGAGGGACAGGGGAATGGAGAGAAGGAAATCTAGTTATAAAAGAATATTGGCTTTTATCCAAAAAACAGACTTTCAAAAAGGAAGAGCTTTTTTCTTCTGTTCACCACCTGATGATTTCTGCTACTACTTCCCAGGGACAAGCAGTCCAATGTCCAGAACACTAAAGGATTTCGGAAGATCTTTTTGAAGTGCATATGTAGTTGACCTACACTCTATA